TGACTGTAGTTGACTCCTTTTCTGAGAGAGTCAGCGGCGTTCATACGGTAAACACCTTACAATTGTGCTCTGTACCCGTGACGGGCCGTGAGAGCGGCGTTCATGCAGTGAACATCAATTGATTTTGCTCTGAAATTAACGTAACAAAGTTTATTTGTGACGAACGTAAATACTTACACTTCCAATTTCCAAACATTTTATTCATATTTTTTCTCTTTTTATTAACCACACTTCCCTGCATGATACCACGACTCACGAGTAATAATTCGAGTAGGCCTACCTATACTGGCTGAGCTAAGTGTGAGACTTTAAGTTTAAGAACCCTGCTGGCTTTCTCGCCCCTCCCCCCTCCCTCGGGACCGGAGCCTCTCCTCTAGCCTCTTCTCTCCATGAGAAGAGGTAGGTATAATAGTAATAGGTAGGAGAAGGCCTGTAAGAAAAAAGAAAGCTTAATTTTTCATAATCTCCTAGTAGGCAAAACTAAAATTTTGGTTTGCTATTATTCATTATTGTCTCTGAATCTCTGATTCCTGTTGTATTGTATTCTGCATTAACTGTGTCCCTTTTTGTTGGAAACTCAAAAGTTATTGTGTGTGTGTGTCACTCGCATTATTGTCGCATAGTGGCAAAGCAGAGAGTTTTTTTGACTCTCCCTCAAGATCAAGTCCATTTTTGAGTCCTATAAGCAGACCAGTAAAGTATCATCATCATGGATACCAGCAGCAGCATTATCATACTTGAGAAATTGGTTTCAATCTTGAATAAATGAGTATATTAAAAATGAACTGAGTCTAAAAAATCTCTGGTTTGTCACTAACTGTGTATGTGTGCGTGTTTACTATCTTTGTCATCATATTTTTATTTGTATGTTCAAAATTCTTGTCAAGTTGTCAATATAATTTAATAGCTGTGTGGTCACTGTGGTGCCTGTGTCACTTCTGTAATTTACTAAGAGTATTTCCTGGATTGTCATGTGGTCACTACCACTACAGCACTAGGCTACTCTCAGTACCCTGCCAAGGCCTGCCTGCACCAAGACCATGTCAGAAAGTCAGAAATGGACTTGACATGCCTGAGGATGATGAGGACATAATTCCATAAATGCCATCACAAAACAGAGATGTAAATTGTAAATGTGCCCCTTCAGGCTTTAGCCTAGCCTTCCACTAAATAATGAGAGATATGGAAACCAATGACTTACTCTTGACCAGATGGTATTAAAGTTAATATCAACTACTTAAGAGTCGATGCAAATTAACAATAATAAAATAGAAGCCATGGTCAGGAAGATGTGCCAGGTGCAATACAATGAAGAAGAGAACCTTGCTCTCTAGCTCCACACTTGGGAAATGGCAAATTGAATGCTAAAAGCCAGCATCTGACCATGGAAACGAATGCTCAGGCAGGGGTCATTGGACCAGTTGGACATGAAGTTGACCTTAATGACCTACTAAATATGCAAAGACAAGCGTGCCAAATTGTCAAGATCTCTAGGCTCCCAATATTTTCTGGAACCTCAAAAGAAGACTCCCTGGTCCTTAACCCTTTAGCCGGCAAGCATTGAAATGTCCAGAAATTAGAATTTCAGAAACCATTTCAAGAAAGTAAGAAGTATTACACAAAATATTTATTTGTAGGTATGTATTTTAAAAAATTTTGCTCATTGAAGGTTTAAATGGCACTTTAAGAAGAATTCATTAAATGCGGTCAGTACACAAAATTTGCATTTATAATTTAGCTTATGCAAATGGAAAATTAGTAAAATAATGATTTAATTTAATTAAATTTAATCAAGTTACCTGAAATAATTAAATATATATTGATATTTCCACCATTTGAAAAAAATGCGGAAAGAGCGTCAATTCCATTGTCCGTGGCAAAACCTTCATTTAAATGCTCATATTTTAATTTGTGGACAGTGCAGGTGGTAGGGCTATGGATGGAATGATTGTCAGATAATTAGTGTTGACCGAGGCATGATAAGGAAGCTTAAAAAACAAACAGGAAGCCAGGGTTAGTGATTTTTTTTATTTTTTAAAAAATAAAAAATCAATGATTTTTTTTATTTTGCATGATTTTTTTGATTTATTTGATTTTCTCAGATTTTTTGTCTTTTTGAAGTGTTATTTTTTATGTTGCAATTTGCCTACTAACAATAACAGTATATGGATCATAATGGATGGCTAAAAAGGGCACTTATTGCCTTCAATAATGGCCAACAGGCCAAGGTTCTATTCATTCGCTTTGTAAAGGTTGTATGGAGCAAGGTAATGAGCTAAATATTGACCATTTAACTGGCTTCAATATACAAAAACACTTCAGGAATGCAGATCTTCTAAACATTGAAGAGTCACATAACAGATAGGTACTAGCTGATACCACAGTGCACAGCACTATCAATAGATCTACCAGTTTTATGTCCTATAAATCTACCAGACTCTACCCTCTATACACACCGACTAGTAGTGACTGAGTGACTGACTGCAGCACTGCACTGTTCCCATTTAATTCAGACCAATAAACCAATAATTAACATAAACTGAACGATAACTAAACAAACCTCATACAACTTGAAACGAGACAGAAGTTATGAGAAAAGCTGACACGGTTTGAAATAAACATGTGCACAATTCAAATATTTTATATCCATTCACTGCATTTAATTATTTTATATATTGTCTTATAATTATAATTGTTTTGTTTCTAGTTTTAAATTCAATCAATATTTAAAGATTGAAATTAAATATTTTAATTAGAATACTCGTATTAGGGTGGAAAATCTTTCTAATTGCCTAAAAGGTAAATACAATCTCAACCTCTCAATATACAGGGTGGGGCAGAACTGATTGAGCAGTTTTGAGGTAAAATAAAAGAGTAATGGTACATAAAGAAGAAAGTTTATTTTACTAGAGGTTTGCATAACATACCATTTAGAATACTTATGTTTTGAAAACAATATCTGGAAGATGGGGGCTGTTAGCTGCAACACACTGTTGGAGTTGTTCTCAGAGGAGGGAGTAACCATGACCTGTCTCTTATACACATCTAGATGTGTATAAGAGACAGTGTCTCAATAATGCGTTTAGCTCATATAATCTGGAAATAGTAAATCGCTAGGATTTTATATTCTTGTCGTACCCCTAGGACTAAGTTGTTCATAACTAGTCCTGTTTATTTCGATATAATGTTAGGTCTTGTTTAGGTTTTATGTCTGTCTTTGAATTTTGACTTTTAAAGTGATTTTATTCATTTTTAGTTTAGTCGAACTGATGATGGAGCTGGACTCCAAAACGTTTTCAATATCGATATGGTGAATTTTCTTGGCGTTTTCTTTGCTTTTAAATTACATTGCAGCAGAGGTTATGGCCATACCTTGCCATATGTGTGAGCATGCTGTAGAAAACTTCCGAGAATGACTCCAACAGTGTGATGCAGCTAACAAACCCCATCTTCCTGATATTGTTTTCAAAACATGAGTATTTTAAATGGTATGTTATGCTAATCATGAGAAAAAAAAAACTTTTTTTCTTTATGTACCTCCATTACTCTTTTATTTTGCCTCAAAACTGTTCAATCAGCTCTTCCCCACCCTGTATAAGCTAGCTAACACATTTAAATTGTATATTGTAATCAATATATAACAAATAGTCAAATAGTTAAAGACTACTTATAGCCTTATAAGAATTAGCTAAACTGCAAGCTACGTACAATGTATTGCACACTTGATGCCTCTGTACCAAAAACATTTAATTTATTGGAACCTAATACACACTAAAAAGGCAACAAGTTTATATACCAATTTGTCATTCATAGTACATTTATACTAATCAAAGAATAACAATACCTTGATATAAATTAAAGACTGCCACTTAATATATTTAAATATATAAAAAAATCAAATAAATCAAAAAAATTGAAAAAATATAAAAAATTATGATTTTTTATAAAAAAATCAAGTGATTTTAATCACATGATTTAATCATTGCCAACCCTGCAGGAAGCCATGGTGGTGGATTTTTGTGAGGCGATTTCAAGTGATCATATATAGTAACATGCCCATTAAAGGGTTAAATTAGACTTCCAAGGTAATCAGCTACCAGAAAAAACAATTTTTGGCTTTGTCTCATACAGAGTGAGAACCTACAATCCACCACCTCTCAGATGCTGCAAATGTCAGTGACCAGGACACCTCTCTAGTGGATGCACTGCTCCTGAACATTGCCTTCTATGTGCTGGAAATCACTCCAAAGGTTGTATTTAAGTCAACCATACTCAAATGTGCTAATTGCAGAGACCCACATATTGCCAGCAACCGAGACTGCCAGTACTATGTTCAAGCTAAGGCCATAGAAGCACTGAAAAGAGGTGGAATGCCCTATGACCTAGCCCGAAAGCAAACCAACTGTTCATATGCCAGTTCTCATCCAGGAAGAGATCCACAAATAAATCAAAGCTGCCAGGACACTGATCAACTACAAAACATGCTTGGAAAATCAAAGAAAAGCAATCATAAGATCAATACTACTGAAGCAGAAGTACATAGGTCACAAGGTTCCTACCTTGTAGGAACCATGCTGTTTTAGGTCATTTTCAGCCTGCTAGGATGTCCCAACAGAGGATAAAATCAGAGTATAGATAGTGGATTGAGTATTGGAATGATTGAAGGTATTTCGAATAATCCAATTTGATCCAACACACTTGATTAACCTGCTATGGAAAAAACATGCTAAGCCAGCATAACTTGCAGCACAAGCTTAAATTGCAAAACTAGGTTGGTCAACCTGTTGGCACCATGGTGCCCAATGAGTGCGTTTTTTGTTGACATGTGCCTTTTCTGAGCATGCCTCTCAGCATTTGCTCAATGGCACATAAAAATTAGAACTAGATAAAAATTTGAACCAGATTACCCAATTTGAACTTAGCCCAAGTGCCTGTTGCTGAATAATTCCTCTGGAGCCAATAAACTGTCTTACATCCTCAGGTGCCTCAAACAGCTGCACTTCTTTTTCCATCATAATATTTTAGTATTCCTTGTTATATTTAATATTCATTTTTTCAAACAGAAGGAATCAGTTGCAAAATCTAACTGAGCTCCTAGTCTTCCATGAAATTTAATCCCAAGTTCAAGTTCAACTTCAGACTCTGATTCAAACTTTGGAATCTTTGTGGAATTTATTTTATTATTTACTAATTGTGCTCATTGGACCATTTGAGACTTGAGACTAGTTTTGAGAGGTGAAGATTCTGTCCATCATGTGGAAGGCGGCTGCTGGGTTTCAAGTTGTTGACAATGCCAACAACAATACTGATGATGAGTGGGACACAGATGCTGATTATGTCAACAACATGACAGAAGAAGAACAACGTTATGGTTCCAAGAGAGAAATTGGAGCCATTGAGTAAGTAGTGCAAGAAGCTGTTATTCAACATTATTTCTTATGTATCAATGATATTTTATTAAAAAAAGATGTAGTCCCTTTTTCAGATACTGTTGTAGAATATTGTTCCATAAAATAGTTTTTTATATAGAACTTTAACTATGACATCAATGCTGTTTTGGAATAACTTTTACATAGATAATGTCAAAATCTCTCGTAGAAATGAGTGAACAAGCAGTTCATGGAATAAAATGAATAATTATCATGATTCTATTTAAATTATTATTTATTTTTGCAGCATGAAACAATTTAGAGAGGAGACTGTGAATGCTGATGCACAACTGAAGCAAGCAGAGCTCAACAGTGGACCCAAAGCATCTTATGGCTATGGGGGCAAATTTGGTGTTGAGAAAGACAGGTGTGTGGCTGTGAGCAACTTGAGAAATCTTGAATGTCCTTGAGGCACCTTTGCATCAGGCTTCATTGCTATGTGGTATTGTCACTAAAGTTCTTTTATTATGTAACAAAACAATATTGTTTAATCCTCCTCAGATAATAACATGGTTTGAGTAGTAAGAAGTGAGATGGATGGAATTTTTTCTTTTTTTTAGTGATTTTTCAAGATTTCTATGAAATTATATAGGTAGGCAAAATCAACTTTTTGTAAATGGCATTTTAAGCTATTGAGTAATCTGGTACATACTATTTGCAATGAAATTCAAATTATAATTTTTATGTGAATTTTTCTTTAATGCCTTGTTAGACCCAAAGCTTTTTTATAGAATGAAATATTCAGTCAAATTCTTGAGGAATGTGGTAATTTCCTTCTCCTTGAAGCTATTTATTTTGTGCACTACTTATCAAACGAGTAATTCATGCAGCACCTAACACAATTATCTGGTGGTGGATTCTCCTCAGTTTTTATTATAATATGTTGATATTAATCTAAAGCCAAATATAACTCTTCTCTGTGGGACAACTTCTATATTTTAATAAATAATTTATCATATTCTACCTAAATCACAGGATGGATAAAAGTGCCCAGAGCCATGAATTCATCATGAATGTTGAGAAGCACTCATCACAAGTTGACCACAGCCAGGGCTTTGGAGGGAAGTTTGGTGTACAGAAAGACAGGCAGGACAAGTCTGCTGCAGGCTGGGACCACATTGAAAAAGTTGACAAACATGAGAGCCAAAAAGGTGTGTCCATGTGATTCCAAGGCAACATTAGTCAGCATATACAATTTTTTCAATGGTCCTAATAAAAAAAATTTTTTTATGCCTTTAAATCATTCCCATTTGAGCAATTAAGTCTGGCCTGCAGTTTCTTGTGTAATTGTTGTGTTTATCACAAATAAATTCAATGCTCAAGCTTCTTAATTCTGGTGAATGGATCACATGGTTTCATTTCCCCATAAATTTCAATTATTGGAAATGAGTAGGTTTGGAAATGTATATGCTTTACTTAATGGTAACTAATAAGAAAATTATTTTGGTGTAAAACAATGACCTTTATGAACAAACGGTTTTAATTGTAATGTTGTAATAGTTTCAAAATGATTAGTTCTCAAAACATTTCACATTGCCCCAGTATAAATATTCCTATGCCAGTATCCTTATAGATTTGGGCCAAAGATGCCTTTATGTTTATAATTAATAATTTGGAGGGTCTGATTCAACTTATTTAAATTTTTGCAGATTACAGCCAAGGTTTTGGTGGCAAATTCGGCATACAGACAGACAGACAAGACAAGTCTGCTGCTGGATGGGACCACGTTGAGAAGGTTGACAAGCATGAGAGCCAAAAAGGTGATTTAAGTTTTAATTATTTACTTGTTATTACCAATGAGGCTTCAGTTTTAATTGGTATATTCTTTTAAGTTTGAATCTAGGTATCATTCATTTGTTATCATACCTTCATAATGATGAGTTACCTTTTTCATCCATGTTTAATTATTTTATGCATACTAAAATGAAAAAACCCTTAGACCAATATACGTAATTACTCGGTTACCATTCCAATCTACAAGAAAAGATGTTACAAAAACTAAAGCTATTCTTAGGTTAAAAGATTACTAATTTTTACCCTATGATATCCATTGATGCCGCTACAGTGTACATATTGGCTTCTTGCTATTATATTTGTAGGATTTTAGTTTTCACTTTCATAATTCAAGCTAAAATGTTATACTTACAATTTGAAATACTTTCCTGCTATCTCAGTGTATTTAAATGCCTGAACTTAGAGTGTATATCAGTTATAGTGATGTGCAACATTTTATGCTATATTTATTTGGCTTTTTGACTTGATATACAAAAGACAAGTGTATTTACATATTTTGCCGTAAATAATAATCATGTTAGACTGTGAGGTGGGGGCATAAACCCTTGCTCTCATCAGGACAAATAATTTATTTGAATGATTGAAATACGTATCAATAGTAGTTGTTTATCTGCCAAATAATATTCTTCCATTGAAATTTTGTAGCCTTGGTCAAAAACAATTAAGGGTTGATTGTCAATAAAGAAGCATGAGGCTGCGGTTTTGGTTTATAGCTTTATAGTTGAGTCCAAACTCTTATTCTCTGCAACTTTTGCCAAACTTTAATGGTTTTACATTATGCACAGATTACAGCCAGGGCTTTGGTGGCAAATTTGGGGTGCAGAAAGACAGACAAGACAAGTCAGCTGCAGGCTGGGACCACATTGAGAAGACAGAGAAACATGAAAGCCAAAAAGGTGACATTGTAATTCTTTCATCAATGTTTGACTATTTGATTGTGTCTGCCACAATTAATTCAATGCTTCATACCTTCATGGATTTTGGGCTCAGTACTCAGGCCCCTCCTCCTTATATTTACGATTGCAACTTCTTTTAACATTGTAATTCACAAATATTTTATATTTTAATTTAGAGTTAACTCTATGTAAGGAGATGCAAATTATTCCTAGGGGCTTGAAACTACCAATATGAAATCCATAATTCCTAGTTGACCGGTTAGTAAAGCACAGGCCAAAATTATTTCAGTTCAATTCTGGTATCTCACAGACCTGAGAGTTTCTTGAAATCTTCTTGTCCAGTGTTGTGTTGTTGTAATTGCCTATCCTGGTAGTGGCGACTAGGGAGGGGGGGTGATAGGTCAGTTTTTCCAGGCACTCGGTACCACTGGTAGTTCTACGACCATCACTGGCTCGCCGACCTGCCAGAACCATTTTATTGCATTACACAACACCCTGGACAAGCCAGGTACTCATTTATCAACCAGAGTTGGATGATTGGCTGAGTTGACCATGATCGAGGTGAGCTTCCTGATAGAACTTGTCCTCAGTGGGACTCGAACCCGGGCGCTAGGTGCGAGAGACAGAGTCTCTCACCACTGCACCACCACAGCTGCACCACAGCTTGTCCAGTAAACAGTTGCTCAAAGAAAAATGATATGTTCACACACATCCCTGGAAACGTTTCCCAATATCACATTGCATAGACAGGTAGACAATTGTTTTTATCTCGTCCAATAATTGTTGTCGTCACCAAAAATGACTTCAGGAACAAACTAGAGTCTCTGTTTTGCTATAACTGTCCTGGTCCATGCAGACTACAGCATGGGCTTTGGAGGCAAGTTAGGTGTCCAAAAAGACCGACAGGACAAGTCTGCTGCAGGCTGGGACCACATCGAAAAAGTTGACAAACATGAGAGCCAAAAAGGTGATGATCTTGGTTATTACATTTTAATGCCAAGTTTTTGCTTTCAACACTTTGATGCCAAGGTTTTGGTTGTAACATTTTATTGTGATTGTTTTGGTTTAGATATTTAAGGGTAATGATTTTGAGTTTAACTGTAATGATTTTGGCCGTAATATTTCAAGATGATGATCTCTGTTGTCACGATATGTAAGTAGATGCATAATGGTCGTTTTATTTGCTAATTATTTCGGTAGAATTTATTGACTTGCTTAGAAATGTATATTTCATTATTTTTCCCAGGGTGAACATGAATAAAGTATGAGAAGGTTGAAAATTAAACCCTTGAGCCATCCTTCAAATAAAAATTTTCCTTGTCAGTATAAAAGTTTCTAAATACTCTCATAAAATGTAACTTTGGTGTATTATTAATTTTTTAAATTAAAATTCTTTTTGTATTGATAATACATTCATATTTTTAGTAAAGAGTCAAGTTCGCCACATATATCTTCATGCATGTTAATATGGTAAATAATGTTCTAGATAATCAATAAAAAATATTGTTAAGCAATATTATTGCCTCCAATTATGCTGCTCTTGCTTAAATTCATTTTACTTTCAAAAACTTCTCATCTTCCTTACTAAATAAAAAAAAATACTGTCTATTAGTTTATAGGGAATTGTTAGTGAATATATTCATATAAATCCTGATACTACCTGTACTGAGTACATACGGTATTTTTATAACTATGTGCATTTTTTGCTGTACCTATGTTATATTTATACTATTTTTAATACGCATAATTGTATTATGTGTGTGGTACTTTCATTACTGTATGTGTTTGGTACAGTTTGTATTGGCTGTGTGCAGATTATTCTCAAGGCTTTGGAGGGAAGTTTGGCATCCAGCAGGACCGCATGGACAAGACAGCGCATGCCTTTGCTGAGAAACCTGAGAGCGTAGGCACCAACTACGTCCCTACCAAAGCCTCCATTGAAAGTCAGTCATGAATTAAACTGTGTTCACAACTATGAATTACTCTCTGAATCTAATTACTATACCTAGGAATTGGATTCAATGTTAAACTATACCTAGGAATTAGATTCAACGTTAGACTATACCTAGGAATTAGATTCAATGTTAGACTATAGTCACTATACCTAGGAATTGGATTCTTAGTGAAGAATATACACAGGAACTGGAAAATTCTTTGCAACACACAACTGTTAGTAATGCTCATTTTGTCGTCAATGCACAAATAGTAATTGTATGATGCATAGGCTATGCTCACTTTATTATTCTTCATCATCCAATTCCCAGTCACAACCTATGATAAAATTTTAACTTCTTCCACGGTACTGAAATTGTTCCAAGAAGAATTGCAGTACAGGTTGACCATTCTAGTAAATTGATTACTGCAAATATAATAACAAATTCTTTCATAAGATATAGTAAAAAGTATAATATGTAAATTGTACAAACAAGATGAAACGACAGAAATTTCCTATGTCATCACCCTAATCCTAGATTCCGTACTTAAATGAATGAATGAATGAATGAAAACTAGAAACGTGTAGAAAGTAGAATTAAATATGTTCACTACAATTGCACTACTTTTCTTGAGTTATTATTATTGCATAATAAATGAGCAGTTACATTTATTATGAAGATATATTTTTATCTTGCTAGTTGTTGAAGTTTTCTATTTAAAGGAAATACCTACTGTCAGCTCTTCACGTTCCCTCTAGCATCTCTCAAACATGTATTACAATAACCAAATTAATAATAACTAAATTAACATAAACTTGTTACCAGAGGAGCTGAGGATGAAATACAATTTAACATAAAATAATTTGCTGCGAGCAACTGCACCAACTCGCGCAATTTATAAAATCTAGCATATACATAACTCAAGGAAACATAGAAAATTATCATTAATTTGGCTGATGATTTTTATATAATTTTCAACAATGGCATGATGTGCCATCGATGCCAGACAACTTTGAGTTACAGCTACTGAACTTGACGGCGCGTGTGATCTTAGGACCATATATATAGTGCCACGGTCTATTACTTTTACATTTTACTTCTGCTTTGGGCCTCATGTGCGGCACCAACGCTTTATAATTTCCATTTTTAGTGCATTTTCTCATTTATGGGAAAAATGCACTGTTGTGCTCGCCATGTCCGTCCGTCTGTTTGTTCGTCTGCCTGTCCGTCCGTGACTTCACGTTTTCGTCGACGAGAAAATGCGCTCTCTGTCACTCACTGCAGTGAGTACTGAGTTATATTTTTTCATATTTATGTCGGACGTGCACCATCACTTTATAATATCAAATTTTTTCATATTTATGTCGGACGTGCACCATCACTTTATAATATCAAATTTTTTCATATTTTCGTCGGACGGAGCACAGCAGCGAGTGGCAAAGCTTCCAGTCTGCGCAGTCGCTTCGAGCAGCTGGCGACCTCCGACGACGTGGCCGCTGAGCGCGACCTGCAGCAGCGGCACGAGCGACTTAAGATGGAGCAGAAGCAGCTGCGTGATCAGCAGCAGGCTTTCAAGTTAGAATTTTGGTCTTCTCATTGCTAAAGTTTGGTCTCCAGGCAATCCGCATTAAGTCTCGTTTTTGGTTTTTTGTTATAATATTGTTTATTTATCGGATGTTCAAACTTCCCCGCATTCATACAAAGTTTTCATGTTTGCCCAAGCGATTTTGTAATGACCTATTTGTTTAGCATAACTAAAGGATGAGCATGGGCTATCGTATATTATCATAATGACATCTCGTGTTATTTGGGAATTACTATATTCATGTTTGGAAATAAATTGTTCATTTCTTTGTCCGAAGTGCAGTGTGGAAATCTGAATTATAACTGGTATATAGGTGCATTTTTAAAGATTTTCAAATGTTCCAGTTGCATCATAATTTTTGAATCAATTCGATTCAGAGTGGGAAAATAATCTGTATAGATTAAATAATAATATAAAATTTGTTCTGTGCAGGCGACAAGAACAAGATGAAGAAGCTTCTCAAGTGACAGCTGTTGCGCAGCCTGCCAAGGTAAGCCAATGCTCTTGTTCCAATAATTTATTGAATATTGCAAAGAATTGTGGGAATCCTTGATTATTCGTCTTGCTGCTCGCAGATGACAAGAGTTTTTTTTTTTGTTTTCCTTATAGGTCATAAAAAAATAATAAAAAATAGGTCCTAATAATATAGGTCATAAAAAAATAAAAAAAAAATAGCTCCTCTGACACAAGGCCAATAAAAATCTTGGGTGAAAAGCTCGCCTGAGAGTATGCCTATAAGTTTCTTGCTTATTTGATCCTGTTTTTGGCTACTGCTTCTATAATTTTGTCTGACTGTGTTATCCATGTCATGATTAACTATTTTAACATTTTGTGCACAACAAAACTTGTTGATTTTTTGCTTTTTTTGCTGATATACAAATATTCTCGTGGACTTTTTATGTTGTGTTATGTTGCTTATACATATAGACTTGTTATGTCGCTTCTGATAACAATGCTTATTGGCTTTGATTCTGGGGTGCTTTTTATCAATTTCCTGCAGCTATTTGTGTGGTTTTTCGTCCCTTACAAATTGTTCATAATGTGATTCTTTGCATTAACATAAATACCGTACTGAATATGGCACTGAAAAATCAGGCTCCAGAAAAGGCGGAAATTGAAAGGCAACAAATATCTGAACGAGAGCAACAGGCAGAACAAGAACAGCGGGAGAGGGAACAACGAGAACGGGAACAGCGGGAACGAGAGCAGCGAGAACGGGAGCAACAGCAAAAACAGGAACAAGAGCAGAAAAAAGAACGACAACGACAGGAGCAACAAGAGCAAGAAGAAAAGCGTCAACAGATGGAGGCGGCCAAAAGGGATGCGGAACTCATGGCAGAGAAGCTCCGACTTGAGGAAGAAGTCCGCAGACAAGAAGAACTGCTGCTGCTCGCGCCTCAGGTACTGGGTGTTATATCTTTGGCCTGCTCCTGGGTAATGTATCTGGGGACTATAGCTGGGGACTGCATCTGGGTACTGCATCTGGCGACTGTATCTGGGTACTGTATCTGGGGAATTGCATCTGGGGACTGTATCTGGAGACTGTATCTGGGGACTATATCATTGGCCTGCTCCTGGGTAATGTATCTGGGGACTGTATCTGGGGACTGCATCTGGGTACTGCATCTGGCGACTGTATCTGGGGACTGCATCTGGGGAACTGCATCTGGGGACTGTATCTGGGTACTGCATCTGGCGACTGTATCTGGGGACTGCATCTGGGGAACTGCATCTGGGGACTGTATCTGGGGACTGTATCTGGGGACTGAATCTGGGGACTGAATCTGGCGACTGTATCTGGCGACTGTATCTGGGGACTGCATCTGGGGACTGCATCTGGGGACTGCATCTGGGGACTGTATCTGGGGGACTGAATCTGGCGACTGCATCTGGGCACTGTATCTGGTCTCTTATACACATCTAGATGTGTATAAGAGACAGCATTTAGTGAGTTTATCGAGTTTCTGCTACTTTTTAAGTGTGAGCTAGAACATTTTGAGTGAAATTGGTTATGAGATTATCTCTGCGGGTATCGAATTTTCCATCAGAAATGGAGCTAGATGTGTATAAGAGACAGGTCATGGAGTTCGTCGTCATGGAGTTGGCCGTCATGGAGTTGGCCGTCATGGAGTT